CGACTCATTCTTTGTAGAGAAAAATTTATTAAGAGATCCTCTTAAACTTTCGGCAATTTCGTTATCCTTTGTTTTTTTTTCCTTTTCATATTACCAGAGAGTTGTTTCCTAAAAGACATGGATTCGATAATTTGTTTGCAAAAATTACCTACACATGATATAACAAAAATTTCCTATCAAAATTATCATTCCAACATATATTATATATTATAAAAACACTAACACATAGTCTAACATATACAAATTGATAAAATTGAACCTAAATATTGAGTTTAAAATGAAATCAAATAATTCAATTAATCAAGAATTCAATTCATCCACAACAACAATTATATACATCAATTATAATATAATTATATTTCTATGTCACTTACAACGTTTTATATTAAATTATGAATTGATAATTCAAATTTTAAAAATTAGTTACCTCAAAACTCAAAATGGTTGGTGATGAATGAATGCACTTGTAGTCAAATTTCAATACCCAAATAAATGGTGCTGTCTGTGCTGTCACGTTGAGAATAATAAGGAGGAGGCCTGGCTCCTGCTGTGCTGTCTCCTGCTGTGCTGTCTCCTGCCTGCTCACTCACATCAGTGCAGCAAAGGCACAGGGGAAGTGGCGGTGGGGAAGGGATTGGGGAACAAAGGGGATGGAGGATTGGGAAAAGGTTGGAAGTTAGTGGGGATTGGGGAACAAAGGGAGGGGGTGTGTGGGGGAATCGGGAAAAGGGTTAGAAATTAGGGTTTATGGGACCAAGAGTGGTCCCTGTATATAACTTTTTTTTTTATAATTTTTTTTAATGCATAAAACCTAGGCCCCTTTAATATGTTGTCAATCTTAGGCCGTCCCCCTATTTGAAAATTGGGCTCTAGTAATTTTTTTTTTTTATACCTAGTTATTTGGGTTTTATTATTTTGGTGCCCCTTTAATTTTTGGGCCCTGGACAGTTGCCCTTGTGGCACTGGGCTAGGGCCGGCCCTGTACTCCACAGGACCAGCATGAAGTAGAATTGTTAAAACAACTCCGTCTGTCCTCCAAAGTGGTACATTTTGAGCCCCAGAGAACAACCGGTTGGAGAGGTACATTAGGGCTCCATTGAACAATATTTGGTCATCCCTGTAACAAACAGGGTTAGTTAGATCTTTATATAGATCAAATTATTTATTCATTGCACTCAGAGTGTTGATTCTGTTTTGTATAATTTTTTCATGTCATCATTAGGTACACTATATTCTACATATACATAGTATACACATGGATACAAAAATAAAGGTTAATTATTTGATGAAGAACATTATTTATCATGAATATCATTACTTATATCTTTTCTAAATCTACACTTAATTATATACTAAGACATATATTAAGAGATCCATCTTTGTCAACTAAAAAATGTGAAGTGACTAATGTGTCATTTTTATGTTAATTGATTATGATATTAGTTTAAACAATCGAGAATGATACTGTAATTTCCCTAACAACCTTCTTTACCATGTCTATTTTTTCTCTTTTTATAATTGTACATATTTTGTAAAATTTTATCATCACATACATATAGCATGTGTACAAATATCTAGTTTGCATAATAAAAAGTTGAAAATAAAAATCCAATCTAAAAAGTCATGCATTTGTAAAATGGAAAATGCTTTTTTCAGATGTTCAAAAAGAAAATTTTCCCTCTTTTTAAAATTCTTAGAACTTTGTCATTTTTGAGGTAATACCAAAATACATGTATTTAGAATTTTTGCAGGTGAAATTTGTCTTCCCATTTGATAAAAAAAATGATAATAATTTAATTATATACCCTTGAGAATTATGAATGGAACTATTAGCAAGGGTAATTATTATGTGCGAGAAGACTTAATTAACCCTTGGATTCAAATACTTGCTTAGTTCTCATTCCTCGAGACACCCTCAAGTACAACTCGAACCATCCCTCTTCAAAAGATCTAATTGCATTATAAGCACCAGTAGCTTCCCCACGCAAAGAGTTTGTAGCAGATCTATCATTCTTTATGTTCTCAAGTATTGTACAAGACGCGTCGTACATATGTATCAAGTCACACACTGAATCATAATGAGAACCCCAACGAGTAGCTCCAGGTCGATGTATAGTACCGATTTGATTAGCTCCTCTTCCTGTCTCAAGTTCACCAGCACCCACCAACTCTTCAATGTTCACTGTGTGTGCAACCTGCAGCTGAGTATGACTCTTTGGAGAAGTAGTAATAACATTCACAATTGAACCTAATGCTGAAAAGAATAACCAGATAACAGCTACTTCTTTTGATGCTGCAACTAATGCCAATTGCAGTTGATGAGCAAAACAATGCACATAATAAGCAGATGAACACTCTTTAATAAATAAAGATTGTAGCCCATTCCACTGACCTCACATATTACTCGCACCATCATAGCCTTGACCTCGTAATTTGTTTATAGGCAACTCATGGAAGGCAAGGACTTTTTTTATCTCCCTATGAAGTGTTGGTGCAGTAGTGTCTTCAACCCACACAATATCTAAAAATCGTTCTCGTAGAAAACCATCATTATCAACAAATCTTAAAATAATGGCCATGTGCTCTCTGTGAGCAATATCATGTGCTTCATCAACAAGAATACAAAAAACACCATCCCCGACTTCTTCACAAATTTTTCTTCGTACTATGTTGGCGAGAATGTTCAAAACCTCCTTTTGGATCATGGGCGAGGAATATTTGGTATTTTTTGGTGCATTTTCTAAAACAACTACAGCCACCTTATCATTAAACTTGGTTGTATGCTTTACCAATTCAATAAAATTCCCACGATTTTTCGAACCCATTGATTCATCATGTCCTCTAAAAGGACATGCTTGAAATGTAAGCCATTGAACACACCCAATTGTAGCCTTGAGTCTCAACCGATTCTTCAAAATTTCTTCTTTTGATTGTCGATTAATAACCTTGTCAACATTCTGAGATGGATTCATCAATTCCTCTACACGTGAAACACAAGTATTATTTAATGAAGATGGACCTCCAATATGAGAAAGAAATATACAATTCTTTCCGTCGTTAACTCTTTTCCAATTGTTAAACCCATCAACAGTTAGTGTCGGATGACTTGTTGGACCAGTCCCAAAAGGAAAGCATGGGAAACAATATACTCTATATGTTGTTGGAGAATATTCTAACCATGGAAATTGTGAAAACCAAGAATACTGAAATCGACGATATTGTGATCCAAACCGAGACCTAGGATACTCAAGAAGTTTCGGATGGTAAGGCCCAGCTTTGATATAAGCACGTCGAACTTCATCTTGTTGATTAATAGGATGCTCATATATTTGAATTCGTTTCCTCGGGTCTCGTTCCAATTCCAAAGAAGCATCATCAAAAACTTTTTCTTGAGGTTCAATTATATTAGATGTCTGGTGAGAATCATGAGGCAGCTCAGTTGATATTGGTGCGTTATCATTAGATGCAAAAGGTACATCACTCTCTAATTTATCACCATCATCTCTTCTTTTTTTTAAAAAAAAAAGAATCAATAGTTCTTAACCTCTTCATTGAACGTTAACCTAACAAATTGAACAACAATAATGCAAGTTTATATAATAAATTATATTTCTAAAAAATCTATCAGACTATCAGAAAAAATATATTAAACTTGAAATTGAATTTTTAAAGTACAAATTCTTAAAATTAAAGCAATAAACAAATAAAATCATCAAGACATAAGAATAAAGTGGTTAAAAACTTACCTATTGATAAGAAAAATCAATAAGTTTTCTCACTTGTATTGTATGCTCGGTTTTTGTGAACTGCAGTGCAAAGAAGAGACGTCGAGACGGGACAAAGGCTTTTCCAAAACTGAAAAAGGGTCACTGTGTTGTACCTCAAAAGTCGAAATAAAATAATAAACTAGTCTACTCCTAGGAAACCTAAATTAATAAAATATTAAATTTACTTTTTAAAAACGGATGAGATGACTACTCTACTCCTAGGAAACCTAAACTAATCTCTATACTACTCCCTAAAAACTAATCAAATAAATAGACTTAATGGGAAGTGTGTCAGTGTGTGTGTCTGTAAGATTTGAATTATAATAATAATAAATTTTGATATTGATTAAAGTAAATAATTTATTTAATATTTATTAACTCTTACTTTTTCTAAAAGTAGTCCTATTATTCAGAACTTTTACTTATTGGATGGGCTATAACAATTAAAAATAATAAAATAACCTAAATTATCAGTATTTTTAACCTTAAACAACTAAAACTCTCCCTATGCTAGAGCCCGCCCTAACCCTGTTACTAGCTCCGCCGTTGCAACTTTGCATTCTTAATTTCTAGACCAATCAAATAAGGAGCATGACTATAAGACTAAGTTTCAAGTCACTTGTAGCTCAAGTAATTAAGGATATTTATCTATATTCGAAGTTTTACATTCAATTTCCCCATTCTCACTACACCTTATAGAAAAAAGAAACAAACATGAGACCAAGTTTGTCTAATAATACCTACTAACAATTGTGGCACATGTTATATATGCATGTAAGCAAAATAGTTATTACATAAAAGCAAAATGGTAGTAGATTCCTCAATGGAAGATGCAAAATGCCTTAAGGGGACGTTGTATATTTGTTCTTGATCGGAAGCTCTCCAATGACTGGATGTAAATTAATCATCTTCAACCTGAAGGTGTATATAAAAATGTATATCTACATCTTAGAAGGTGGTTTCCGCAAGTTGTCGAAAAGAAAAATATATGAGATATTTACATCTCTCCCGTTGTAAAACTAATATTTACATATCCCGGAGGTGTAAAAGTTTTTTTTTTTTTTTTTTTCCGAGCAAACGATATTATCTACATTAAAGGAGTGGGGGAGTGGGCTAAGCCTCTCACAATGGGCTAGTGTAAATGTATTTTTTTTTTACATCTCAAATTTGCATCTCTTTATTGAAGATGCTCTTATAATAAGGAAGAGTAATAAAATAGGGTATTGAAAAGTATTTGGGAAGAGATTTTTATTTTTTAATTAAAATATCTTCTGGTACATGATTATCCAATATGTTATACTGTTTTATTTCATAATGGTAAATTTGAGAAATAAGTACTTGGAAGGGATTTTTAGAAAAGATCGACAAAGTCTCTTCTCTTACACACAACTGATGATATAATATAACGAAACAAGTGGTTCGATCCCATAGTTTGTTTATGGTAGATAATAGCTAAAGCTTGCATGAAAATTTGTCCATAGCTAGCTAGCAACATTTTCATGAAGTGGCAAATAATCTTCATTATTTTTACATCGGTTGAGTGGTGACAAGTGGGTGGAAACCATGTCGAAGACTTGCTTGCCAAACTTTGTCAGTGTCGGACATGGTGTAACCACACTCATGCTCCTTCCAACCTTCCAAGGCATGCACTATGCCTGCTATACGCCATGCACTCATCACCCTTCTTGGCAACCAATTCTGAGATATAAAAAAATAAAATTATAGGTCAATCTAATTTTCGAATTAAACAGAAAAAAGTGGCAATGAAATTAAAAAAATTATTATTGTTTTACTTATTAATTAATTGCTTACCTCACAAGAGTAAATATTCTCAAGAGATGAGGGAATCTTCATCGCTGGGGTATAGTGGTAGAAGCAGTCTTTGCGCAGTTTTTTTGGTGGGAGTTGGGAGAAGGGAACAAATAATGTTCCTCTTGGGGCACTCAACTGCTCTTTTTCTGTCAATCCATCTCCAACTAACCAAATCTGAAAAGTTGACTTGCATATATAAATTTCAATATTACAATATAAAAAGGAAATTATTATTAGTCTTCTAAAATAGTTATGTTGAACTATTTTTCTTTTAATGACTAGTGGAGTGCGTAATCAATTTTTTTTAGTTTTAATAACAACTCTCAATATGAAATATTGTTTTAAATTGAATTGCATATCATGGGTAAAAAGCAAAATACATAGATGATAATTGATACCTTGTGTGCATAACTTTCTGCAAGAACCAAACTACTTTCAGTGGCACTCAATGATTTGGTGAGCTTCAAATATTCATCTTCGTGTAATGTAGCTACCTGAAATAAACTCAATGCATATAAAAGATGAGTAAAATAGCAATACTACAAACACCAAGTCTAATATCAACTCTTACACCAACTTCGTCATATTGTATGAGTCATTTTTACATGATCACATAATATCAGTGGTCCCACATCACACATCACGTAAGAAAGTTTATATAGGAGTGATGATAATACTTAATGTATGTAACCTTAAAAAACAAATACATTTAATAAGTGATATTGAATTTAACACGGTAACATGATCGTGGATAGTAAGAATGTACTAGTACAAAACTTTTCCTCTATTCTTATAGGGGAGCTAGAACCATGACATATGAACTTGATACATATAAATACATGTTATATATATTTATTTACCTGGATACCCTTCTGGTACAAAGCAAAGGCAAGGGCATAAGCAACCTTTGTGAGGTTACCTCTGAAAACAACTTGAGTTGTCCCTTTTGGAATGCTGTTTAGGATTACAGCAACTGCTAAGCTACTTCCATCCACAACCTTGATTTTGAGATGAGGATGCCTTTGAACATAGAGACCACCATATCTATTCAGATCCTCACCCTGCATGCAAAAGTTTGCAGTCAGAAGGTGGTGAAAGATTAATTAACGGTGGGTTTCATGTAATCAATTTTGCAGGATATATAAGAGTGGACCTCCGGGAAATAACCAAATTTAGAAAAAATTATAACTGAAAAAAAACATAAGAATTAGACATAACGACTAGAAAGTGAATTCAGATGAAACATTAACGAGACTATGACAATATATAATTCACTCAGATATTGGAGGTAGAAACTGGCCTGATTCAAGAGGCCGAGACTTATAACTTTGACACCCTTTTTCTCAGCTTGAACAATGGCTTCCTCAATTAAGCAATTGATAGCTTCTTTCTGGAATCGAAAGTTGTACTGCAATATTTGTATAAACAAAGCGCAATCATATGAAAAAAGTTTCTGCCTAAATGGTCTGTTAAAATTGAAGTTTCAATAACAAACTATATATACATTTAGTGAAAATTCAACTATATTTTGGTGTATAAAATTCATTAGAGCATACTCGAACTTTTAGATCGTCGTACCCAGTGCACAAGGCTCCCGCTTTACGCAGGGTCTGGGAGAGGTGAATGTCGGCTAGCCTTACCCCCATTTATGGAGAGGCTGCTCCCAAGTCTCGAACCCGAGACCTACCGCTCATGCGAAGGCACTTGCCATCGCACCAAGTGCGACCTCTATACTCGAACTTTTAGATGAAAGAAAAAAAAAGGTTCTCACTTGCAAAGTGTATTTGGGTATAACCCAAGTTTGTAATCTGAGCTTATTAAATCGCTGCCTCTCAACCACAAATGTACGACCACAGATCCGAGTTAACACCATGTACCACAATGTCACAGGCCACATCAACCATAGGTACCATTTTGGTGTGTGGGGTATAGAAGCCAAGGAAGCAAACCCTAGCGGTAGATGATAGATGGATTCCGGTGTTGTTAGATGGGTTAGATGAAGGATATCTGGCGATTCCTCCTCTCTCTTGAGTGAAGTTTCATAGAGTGAATCAGTAGAATTGTCCATGGTGCCATATACGTAGTCGTAGAATGGCATGAAGAGAGAGTAATTGGTTCGGAATTGTGTGTGATGCAAAGAGTGAAACCTGTACACAAATTATATAATTAACTAAATTAATCATAATATTATAAAGGTCTTCAGTTGGTGATCTCTTAAATTGCTTTAAAGAATAAATCAACAATAGTTTGTTCATTTCAAGAATTAGAATTATGAGCTTTGCATAGATTAAGAGTTGGAATAAAGTAAGTCATAAGGTGTAGGTATATGTCATAATTATAATAATCTTTAAATTAGCTGTTGATTGGCACTAGTGTTGCATTTAGCTAGCTATATAATATTTTCATACATTTATAAGTACTTATTTATGAATATGGGTCTCTCAACTAAGCAGTTTATTACGCTTTTGGGTTGGATGCTTTAATATGGTTTCACAATCAGCAAAGGTATACTCTCACCTTCATAAAAAGCGAACCAAAAAAGCTTCACATTGGAGAATCAAACCCTGAACTTTTTATATGCTTAACAAAAAGCAAGAAGCTTGCTTTTAACATACAACATTAGTTGGGTTTCTTTCCCTAACAGTTCAAGATTGTGAATATGTGTACTTAACTATGTATATACTGTATACCCTCTACAAGTATGGAGATTTTTGTATTTAATATACATATATAAACATAAATATATAGACACATCGTACATACATATATAGGTGTGTGCGCGCGCGTGGAGAGAGAGAGAGAGAGAGAGATTCTTACGAAGGGGTATACATAAGATACTTGAGAGGAGGAAAAAGAGAGAAGAGGCAGTTTGGAATGAGCTCAAAATTGCAGTGTCCCATGTTATTCATGAAGTCAATATAAGTATGATAGCCAACAAGGGATATGACAGAAGCTGTTCCCATGAACACAGTTGCTAGCATTGGTATTGAGAAGAGCAAGGAATATACTATGTGCTCCGCAAATGGGTGAATCACAGCTGCAATATAATAGCAAGATTACATAGATACAACACAATATCCATTAAAAACTGGAGACTGGTACCGTTTTGTTCTGTAAAATTATATATTATAATCATCAATATATTTATGGTTCAACATTACAAAATAATGATGAGGTTATGAAATGATATGGGGTAGCGGTCTTACAAGTAATAGGTTCAGTAACGATTGAGGAATGGTGATGAGAATGGTAGCGAGAGTAGAGATAATGATGGTGAAGTGCTCTGTGAAACCAATAGTAGAGGTACTCCACAGGACCAGCATGAAGTAGAATTGTTGCAACAACTCCGTCTGTCCTCCAAAGTGGTACATTTTGAGCCCCAGAGAACAATCGGTTGGAGAGGTACATTAGGGTACCATTGAACAATATTTGGTCATCCCTGCAACAAACAGGTTAGTTAGATCTTTATATAGATCAAATTATTTCTTCATTGCACTCAGAGTGTTGATTAAGTTTTGTTTAATTTTTTGTCATCATTAGATACACTATATTCTACATACACATGGATACAAAAATAAAGGTTAATTATTTGATGAGGAACATTATTTATCATGAATATCATTACTTAAATCTTTTCTAAATCTATAGTTAATTATATACTAAGACATATGTTAAGAGATCCCTCTTTGTCAACTAAAAAGGGTGAAGTGACTAATATGTCATTTTTATGTTAATTATTGTGATATTAGCATGATTCTAAAAGGCGCTACGCGCTAGTCTAACAGCGGGCTGGAGCCTAGCGACTAGGCAACTAGGCAGGGCCTAGGTGAACTAGAGGGATTTAAGTAAATATATTATATTTCGTGTAAATAAGTGTTTTTGTACATAAAATATATGTAATTACCTCATAAACTACAAAATAGAATGACATGTATATTATGAATTATTGGAATATAATGAAAACATGAGGAACAAGCATATAATGTGTGGTCATTTAAGTATTTAAGTCTCTTACAATTTACTGGAAAAAAATAACATGCAAAATGAAAGTTATCTATTTTCTGTCTAAGTAAGTCGCAACCTAGGCAGGTGCCTACGCGGTTTAGGCGGGCGCCTCAGCAGGTCTAGGCACTCTTTCTTAATTTTCAAACACCTAGGCATTAATCGAGGCGATGGCCAACCGCCTAGCGCTTAGACGGGAATTTTTAGAACAGTGGATATTAGTTTAAACAATCGAGAATGATATTGTAATTTCCCTAACGACTTTAATTACCACGTCTATTTTTTCTCTTTTTATAATTGTACATATTTTGTAAACTTTTATCATCACATACATATAGCATGTGTACAAATATCTAGTTTGCATAATAAAAAGTTGAAAATAAAAATCCTATCTAAAAAGTCACATGTATGTGTAAAATGGAAAAAATGCTTTTTTCAGATGTTCAAAAAGAATTTTTTTCCCTCTTTTTAAAATTCTTAGAACTTTGTCATTTTTTAGGTAATAGCAAAATACATGCATTTAGAATTTTTACAGGTGAAATTTGTCTTCCCATTTTATTAAAAAAATTATAATAATTTAATTATATGATGTAGTACCCTTGAGAATTATGAATGAAACTATTAGCAAGGGTAATTCTTATGTGCGATAAGACTTAATTAACCCTTTGGATTCAAATTATTTGCTTAGTTCTCATTGCTCGAGACACCCACACCCTCAAGTACAACTTGAACCATCCCTCTTCAAGAACAACTCGAGTACTTGTCGACCCATATTTCTTGTCTCAATTATTATATTTGTGTGCTGGCATATTACTCAAAAGGTGTCGATATGGGGTCGAGTTGTTCTTGGTGGGGGCTCGAGCAAAAGGAACTTCGCAAAGTGTTTGAATACAATTAACACCTGAGGTTAATTAAGCCTTTTTCTGACAAATTTTGCCAACAACTTGGAAAAGGAGGCAAAAATCGCTTTGACCCTCTAAAAATTGTATTTTCCAAATATTCCAATCTGATTTAGGGACGCTTAAGGACTACCATACGAACACTAACAAATCACAAGCAAATCAATGGTAAGCTAATAAATCACTATAGACAAGTGGTAAAAAAAAATTAATAAATCACTATAGACACACAAAATCACTTTACCGTTGACATGCTATATAATGAAAGATCTCAAAGAATGAGAAGAAGATGAAAGTCACAATACGAAAACTTATAGATTAAAAAAACTTATATATTGGTACCTAAATATAGGTATATACAGATAGAAAACATAAGAACGAAGCTCAGATTATAAGGAAACTTAAAATTTATTAAGCAGCTGTAAAATAGATAAATTTATATAAAATAAAATGTAAATGAAATCCCAAATGCACTGACCAGTTTCTTTCTCTGTCAACCTGATCGAATTCAAGACCCTTGTCAAGAATTCGACCATTGCCTTTGGCTGTTCGATATCGAGAAAGAGTGATCCATATCTGGTTGTGGATCATCCTCCAAAGCATAAGTGGAAATATGAGGATGTAAGCTATATCTCTATCTTTTCCATCATTCATCATGAACAACATTGTGCTGTGAATGACCCAAGGAGCCATGATGAGGTACTGCAAGTGAAAACCCAGCATGTATACATGACAGGTGAAGTAATTAATAAAGCAAAATATAAAACAACTTGAAATGTACAATGATGATGCTGATGATATATAATGTTCAATGACTAAACCCTAACACACTATATAGCATGATATATATATATATGTGTGTGTGTGTGTGTGTGTGTGTGTGTGTGTGTGTAGGAATGCAAAAGAGAGAGAGAGAGAGAGAAAGATGGAACAATAATAATCAGGTAAGAAAGTGCCTTAAAGCTTCCAAGTGGTTTCCATGGCCAATCAGTAAGAATTCCAGGCATAGAAGCCATATTCTATGTTGATTTTTGCAGTGTACTGGACGGGTTTATATATAGGCAGTTTCTGTGGACTTCTTGATCAAGTTTTTAATTTTCATTGTGTTGGATTTTTTTTTTTTTTTTCTTTTCTTGGGAGATGAATTTTGTTTGGTTAGCCGAATGTAGAAAGAGGATGGGGTGATAATTTGATTGATTTGGTAATAAACTTGGGGAAATGATTTATGTGCTTTTTTTCCCATTAATTCTTTTTTGTATTATTCAATTCAAACTAATTAAAAAAATTAAAACTTTATTTGTTTAAATATTTTGATCAAGGTCCTTAGCATCATTTAAGATATTTAACTCATGTATTTATGCATTTAATGTCCCTCAAATTATGAAATTTAACTAAATTCAAATAATATTTTTAAAATATAATAAATACTTAAAAATCAATAATAGAGTAATATTGTTCTTCAAAAAATTATAGCAAAAAAATAATGTACCCACATAATTATTAACATATTTTCAAAAATTACTATTGATATATTTTAAAACATAAAATAAATACATATAATTAGCATGGGTACATTTAGCAAAATTAAAAATGGGTACAAATAAATTTAAAAAATATGGGTACAAATAAAAATAAAAGTTTAAAATATATGGGCAAAAAAAGAAATTAATATATGGGTACAAATTAAAGCTGAAAATAAAATTAGTACAAATTAAAAAAAGGGCTGCAAATTAAAAATGGGTACAAACTAAAAATAAAAATATATGATAAAAATTTTAGCCATAAATATAAATATATTAGATGTAACGTTTCTAACACTAAACGAATGTATTTAGAAATAAAAAAAATATTTTATTATTGAAATAATTAATAGCTTTTATTAAAACCTAAGGACCTTAATCAAAAATTCAAAATGAATAAGGTTTTAATCAATAGAATAGTAAAAAGAGGGATAGGAACCTAATTTCTCCTATAAAAATCTCTTCCTCATGCAGCCCCAGCACCGCTTGAGGCAGTAGCGTACTTTTAACTCTTCAAAGGATACCCCAAAATAGAGCCAATGACACCAAAAAATACATACATATAAATTCAAACCCTAAGTTGGAGGCGTGCCATAAATATTAAACATGAATGGGCAAGCATGTGAAGAAAAAAAAAAGTGAGTGAAAATTAATTTCCTACATTGTTAAAACAATGGCACATGTGTCACTTATACTACTACGGTCTAGTAGTATTTTTCTTCACTTGTAAGTGAGAGGTCTTAGGTTTGATTCTCGTCAAAAGAGAATTTGAACCACATTATTGCTAGCTCATTGTGAGGCTTAGTCCACTCTCTCACTCTTTTAATGTAAATAATATCGTTTATTAAAAAAAAATGGTAAATTACATTTTACCACCTCAGGTTTGAGGTCTATTGCAACCTCATACAACATCTTCAAAAAATTTACCAAAAAAAAATAGCAGTTGAGGTATGAAAGTAAAATGTTTTGAAGATGTTGTATGAAGTTGTAATTGACATCAAACCTAAAGTGGTAAAGTGTAATTTACCCAAAAAAAAATGGCACAAGTACATAGTACTGGACTATTGATATCCACCCACCCGGTCTTCATTTTTCACCGACCATTTAATGAAGTTTCAGTGACAAGGACCGTATACGCCTCCCTGCACTTTCGTTAAGTCAACTTAAACAGTCTTAATTCTCGTGTCACTTTTGTCCACCTTCTACGATCCTTCCTTAAGTACCAAATAAAATCCATGAAATAATTACACATCATCCAGTTAATTCACCACTTTCGAATTATATTATTTAAACCCCTAAAATTCAATACCAACCCCGTCCCATTTTCTTTATTTCTTTTTGTTTGGACCCGATTTTACATCATCGACCCAAGTAATCGAGGTCGTTGAGTGAGCATGGTTCTTAACTGTTGGTTGAGAAAATTAAGATAATTTGCTATTGTTGAAAGATTATATTATGGTTTTTAATCATAATAATTATCTTTCAATAAATTATCTCAATTTTCTTGTACAAAATAAATGGGACAAAAATCATAGCCCCAATGAAGAAACAGGTGAAACAGTCCGATTTAATTTGGCTTTGTTAGCAGTGTACCGTGTGGATTAGAGCAACTCAGCTTGGATTCTTATCACGTGGCATAACATAGGATTTGCAAGGCTTGGATAATGGTGAGATAGGAGACCTAAGTAGGTTGGGTTATTTATGGATGTTGTTAGATGAATTGAATTGATGATGGACTTCTTCTTCTTTTTTTGTCAAAGAGTAGATATTATTAAATACGAATTGCAATGTTTACATCAAACACTAGAGTGTTGAACAACCACTCAGGCTCAAACTCATCCCAAGAATGCACACCCCCCCACACGCGTGACATAAGATGCCACAAAATGCCACAAGATGCGTAGCCTCATTACAAGCACGAGAAGTGTAAATAAACTCAATAGAACATAATTGTTGCTTAATAAGATTAATATCCCACAAAATAGCTTCCATGGTTGCTAGCTATATAATTATAATTATATATATATATATACACAATTGGTGGTTGCCGTACAGTCAGCATATATATATATATATATATATATATATATATAGATATATATAATTGGTGGCTGTTTAGATGAACGTTATTTGTTCAAATCCAAGCATGCAGGTAATCTTGGGATTCGATGTGATAAGACTAAACACAAGGATCGAATTTGGTTGCATTTTTTACTAAGTTCAGAGTCTTGGGAGTAGTAAGGCTTATCCGAGACTCAAGTCAGTGGAAGAGTTTTAATAGCTTGGGAGTCTTTATCAGCTTATCAACCAGCGAGTACTCATCCCTATAAATACAAGACACCGTGCAACATTTCAAGCTCTCTCCAACTCAACATACAAATTGCCCTGCGCAAACTCTCGCTCTACGCAAAACTTCTCAAGAACCTTGAGATTTTTATCTTTTTCGTTAACACATCTTCAGTTTGGATAAACAGCACTATGAAGGCAACCGGCGAACACCTTCAGTTTGGATAAACAGCATTGTTGCTATAGAATCAGCCAATCGCGGAGCACCTTCAGTTTGGATAAACAGCACTACGTCAAGGCCGACTGATTATCTATCCAAGTCTCGGTCTAGAAGGATTTTCAAATCCTTATTGGTAAAGATCATCTCATTAGCCTTCTCGGCGAAGTAAGGTGTTACGGATTACTAGGCTTGGTGCATCGAACGTCGAGTTGTTTTATGATTGGATACTCCCAAGTGGGATTTAGAGTTCGTCATTCTGATGACCGAACTACGTTTACGATTAAGACGCACATTTGCTTTAAGTACTTGTGCCTGTATAGTTAAGTGTCGATTCGACGTGCTTATACTTTTACAAATATAATCACTGTGACCGAATCTGGCGCCGACGGTTTGTGAACTTCGCAAGACTAGTAGCCTTGTCTTCAGGCTCTAGAACCCAAAGGCCGAGATGTGTTCCTTCCTTGGCCGCAGTCGCAAGATCAAGAAGTCAGCATAGCGCTCAATGCAACATCAACAAATTTTACTCCCCGGCCGAGCTCGGCTGTCAAGTTGGCACGCCCCACACACAACCAAATAACGTAGTTAGCCATTAGTTACTCGACCTACGCGCCACGTAGGCTTGATAGTTTTTAGTGTCAACACTTTTATAATAAATAGCCTGTTGTGGTCTATTTTTATCTAACAAAATAGAGAGGGCAGGCGGTAGTGGGAGAGAGAAGAGAGATGTGTGTTTGTAGAATTGTAGGGGAATGTGTGTGTTTTTATCCCTCCTACATTGTGCCTTTATTTATAGTAGTAAAGGGAGAGAAGATATTCCTTCTCCTCCAAGTAATACAAGTTGTAATAGGAAAGGATAACTAGAATCAAATCTAATCTAGGATTTACACAATCATACTTATTCTAGGAATGTTTACAACACTCCCCCTTGAGTGTGCAAATACTTAAGGTAGATTTAGCATCATGCAGAAGTTGAGGAAGTTGACTCCTCGGCACTGATTCCAAGGAACAACGCTTATTCTCAATAAGGTAGGAACTTGCATAAGTAGTAAGTCTCACTAAAAAAAAAACCCTAAGGCTATGGCAAAAACCCAAGTAGGGACAAAATCCATAGTCTAAGGAAAAATGCGTGAGAAATGCAAAGTCAAAAGAAACGTCTACAGGACGTCATCAGGGATATGACCAGCCCAAGGTGGGTGCCTCGTTAAAACCTAGTTAGGTAACAAAAACCCAGTGAGAAAAATGCTCCTAATCGTAAGGAAAAAGAGTACATTAAGATCAAGCAAGTATCCAGAAGATACTCCCCCTAAGTTTGACATAATTCCAAAGAGAAATAGCAAAGTTACAACTCAGAAAGTTTACGCATACCAATTCCATGAACAAGCTTCTGAAACGTCGCCTTCAGTAGATTTGGTGAAGAGGTCGGCCAGATTGTCTTGTGATCGGATTTGCGTGACTTCAATCTTCTGATGCTCTTGTTGTTGATGTGTAAAGAAGAACTTCGACGCAATATGCTTGGTGTTGTCTCCTTTGATGTAACCCTTCTTGAGCTGTTCGATGCAAGCTGCGTTGTCTTCAAAAATCGTCGTCGGGGCATTAACGGCGGGATGAAGATCACAGGAGCTTCGAATATGGCCCATTACTGCTCTCAACCAAAAGCATTCCCGAGTTGCTTCATGTAAGGCGAGAATTTCAGCATGGTTAGACGAAGTGGCAACTAAGGTCTGTTTAGTTGACCTCCAAGATATTGCGGTGCCTTCAACGGTAAAGACATAACCCGTTTGAGAATGTGCCTTGTGTGGATCAGATAAGTATCCAGCGTCGGCATAACCAACAAGGCGAGAATCAACCCGATGAGCATAGGGTGCGGCATCACTCGAGGATTCGTAGGGATAGAATAAGCCCAAATCCGTAGTACCCTTAAGGTAACGGAAGATGTCTTTCACGCCAGTCCAATGTCTACGTGTTGGTGCATTGCTGTATCTTGCCAAAAGATTAACAGCGAAGGAGATGTCGGGTCTAGTGCATTGAGCTAAGTACAATAAAGCGCCTATCGCACTTAGATAAGGAACTTCAGGCTT